GGACCGGAGAACAGTTTCCATCACCCACATAAGACAGCTTATGACAACCTGTAACTCCAGCTCCAGGAGATAATGACACCCCTGACTTACAGGCACCTGCACACACCCACATACACACACACATACATGTAATTAAGAATAATAAAAATTTTTTGAGACATCTCACTGGGTAGCACTGGCTGTTATTCTGGAACTCTGATTATGTAGACCAGACTGGCCTTAAATTCACCGAGATCCACCGTCTCTGCCTAGGGTAACAGCACAAAGAAAACAATGACTGAAGAATGCAAAGGTGGGCTTTTCGATCAGAAAAACCAAACTAAAGGAGGCTTTATGAGCACTGAGCTCCTCCCTTCCTCTACCCATCCGTACTGAGGTCTGCCAGTACAGAGCAACCAGACTCCAGCCACCTGCTGAAGAAAAAACTGACCTGATGTCTGCTGATTCCTAGCTTCGCCCTGAGCCCGGAAGACTCCTGAGTAGCTTCTTCATAGACCATGAACTCTCCCTCACTGATGGCCGGCTTCCCTGTCACTGAATCTGTGTTCTAGAAATGATTTCCTCAAACAGTTGAAGACTTTATGGAGGCACTACCGACAAACCTCTGCTCTCTAAGCATCACACCTGTCATGGGCCCTGGCAACCATACTGGTGACATACGATTTGATATGCTCCCACCACCCCAGCCAGGGCCCCACAGGACCCCAAACTAAGGTGAAGGCAAGCGGGCTTTCTCCAGGGCAGCGGGATCTCAGATTCTGGGCTGGTGTTCAAGTCTCCGTCCATCTTGACCTGAAGGCTAAAGCAGCCATTGTAAGGCATCGCCTGTGCCACGTGTGTGGAATGACAGCAAACGCTGGACTAGAAGGAGAGAGGGGGAGAAACAGAGAACACAAGCAGAGGGAAAAAAGAAAGGCCTTAAAACTCAGAGAGCTAGCGCCAGCTGGGTGTGAAGGCTCCGTGCTCGCGGCCCCAGTCCTCTGAGACTCCTGACTGTGTTTCCTGTGCGTGTGACCTGAGAGATATCTGATCGGCACAGGACCGCATCCCAGCCTTGCTGAGCATGATCAGCACAGGACCGCATCCCAGCCTTGCTGAGCGTGATCAGCAATACCGCATCCCAGCCTTGCTGAGAGTCACTTTCAACCGGGATAAGTTCCACTAAGTAACAGGCATTCTGACACTACCAGAAGGGTGGGCCAAACAGCTGCTCCACAATGGGGAGCAAGCCCACCACTGCACAACACTCTTCTCTTATTCATCCACCTGCTGTTTCACCAATTGCATTGTCTCCAGCGAAGGAGTGGCCTGTCTGTGCACAATACAACCCTGTCGCTCACCACCATTGTCCACAGATGGTCAGGGTCCTAATAACCGGCCTAGCAATACTTTCCTAAAAATAACACTGGAAGAACTAATCCAAGGTTTCATTCCTTCAAACACACTCGACTGACCCACTTCAATGTGTGTGTGTGTGTGTGTGAGAGAGAGAGAGAGAGAGACAGAGACAGAGACAGAGAGAGAGAGCTTGAGACATTGTTAACTATGAACTAGACTATCCTACAGTTCACCTGTGTTTGTGAGTGTAAGCTGGCTCACTTACACAACAGCCCCACACAGAAACCCACAGACACACATGCACATTTGGGACATTAAACTGGAAAGCCTAATGGTTAAGAACACAAGCTCAGTCAGACAAATTTGGACTAGAGAGCCTCAAACCTCACTCAGAGCCTTTAAACGAGGACAGAGACTGGACATTCTATGAATTTTACATGGATTATAACGTCTTTTCTCCCAAAGCCTTTGTATCATTATTATTTTACACTGGATAAGTAACTTCTCAAAGGTCATGGGCTCAGCAGTGCCAATCCTCACTCACGACCTCTTTCAGAAACGGCCTCCTGCCCCCGGCTGTGAGAGAGTCTGGGTCATTTATTTAGGGGCTCAGTTCCTTTAAGACTGTGGCGCAGAAGAGTGAGTTAAACCAGCACGTTAGCACAGTGCTGAGAGGACTAACGACCAGGCAGTGCAAACCGTTCAGTAAAAGGTATTTATTATTGCTAGAGTTCCCAACGCTGAGTCTGCAGTGAGTGCTTCAGGCAAGGGGACATTCGGTTCTATAAATTACACGTTCTCTGGAAAACAGCCATTTGCAAGCTCTAGGCAGCCAAAGAAAAAGGAGCAAATTATAAGCAGTATTTATCTTGGATGTGGTCTAGATCTCCAGAAGAGAGTAACAGATAACCAACGCTGGCTGGAGAGCAATGACCACACTTGAGGTTAGGGGGCGCCATGCCACACTCCACGCCACAACAGGGACCCACTTTCCCCAGAGAGACTCCAAACCCCACTTTGCCACAACAAAGGAAAAGCAGACAAATTCTAACCAATAGCAACTTTTACTTTTGACAGGGGAAGGTACCACCTAACAGCTCTCCCACAGCTTCCATTTTAGGTCCGGTAAATACTCTTGTTTCTTCCCAACATCTTTGCAATTCCACTCGTATTAGTCAATGACCTTTACAAGTCAAGCAAAATAAATAAAAAAATAAATGTAACAAGGATGTATGCATCCATAAGCACAGTGGATAAAAATTTAAAATATATTTTAAAACAACAATAAAAAAAAAGCCAGTCAAAAACTAAATGTCCAAAACTGGCAGCTGCTAAAACTGCCTAGGTCATATTAGCCTATCTACATTTGTGTATGTTTGGAATTCCCTCAATCAAAGGTTATAAGTAAGTTTAAAATCTGTACAAATCCTCTCTAGGAAAAAAGAAAATCTCCCCCCGAAACTATAAGCAGGAAGCTAGGTCTGTCTATATCAGTACTGTGGGAAGCAGTGCTAAATAAGGCCGGGGAGGAGGAAAGGCAGGCAAGGAAGACAACAGGCCGAGTGAAGGAAACAGTGCAGCCCCTATAGACAGGATGTGCCTGACAATGCATCTCCAGTGAACTCCGTGAGGGACTGGAGGCCGCCATTCTTACACAAGTAAACCAAGTGCTACAGTCAAAAAGAAAAAAAAACTACACGGATTGTTGAAGCTTGGCTTTTGTTTGTTTGTTTGTTGTTGTTTGTTGTTCTAATTAGCCAGGGGATAGCCCAGTGTAGAGGTGGACTTTCTAAAGGGTATGAATTTGTTCAAGGATCAGATGAGAAAGCCGGAATCTGGATAAGGAAAGATGCCTCTTTGGGAAGTTAAGACAGATTCTTCTCCTTTCAATGCACAGGCACCTTCTGACACAGTTAGCTGAAAAGTTACTTACTTAGTCCACCCAGAAGAGAACCTGGGATTGAAAATGCTACAGAGATTGCTTCCTTACCCTGGGTGACTTTTTTTTTCCCATTCTCTTTAACTCTAGCTTGGGATCCCCGTCATCCATTAAGTCAAAGCTAAATAAAAAAATTAACTTTAAACTCTGTTAGTGACATGACATATCAACTAATTTCAGCCTCCTTCAGAAGGGGGAATTTATTTCTGAATCACCGAGGAAAAATTCTTTTACACCCAGGTTTGTTAGGAACTTTACAAAACCGATAAGGAACCATTGGCCCTTTCAAGTTAAATCTTCAAGTGTCTCCTGATACTGAGACTAACCCCAGGGCTATCAACAAGGTTATATAGTACAGAAATAACAGTGATCAACACACAGATGGCCTTCGAGTCTACCACCAAACTGTAGGAGAAAACAAACAAACAAAACCCCTACCAGACTCCAGCAGAATTCGGCTAACTCTGAACCACTCCCAAATCCAACTAAAATGCAGAAGCCAGAACTTTCTTCTAAGATTCGCTTTGGGTCCAAGTGTCCATGGGGACGCTTGTCAGACAGTCAGGTCACATCCTCCAAGCTCGAAGTCTGCAGCTCCCCAACGCTACTCATCTATCTCAACCTCCAGACGTTTCTAGTGGACCACTTGCTTTTTTTTTTTACAAGCATGCTCTTTCCAGCCTTAGAGACAAGTAAGACTGCAACAGTTTATCCCGAGACAAACACGTATCAAAGAGTGGGGCGCATGCGTGGATGCTCATGATCCCTCAGCTACTAGTAGGCTCTGCCTCGCTGCACTTGAGAAGTTTTAATGATTCTGAGAGTTCCTTGACCAGACAGCAACATAAGGACAAATCACTCTGAATTGCTCCTGCAAAGAGGTTTTGACTATCGTTAAAGGAAGATGCCAAGTGGACAAGACTAGCCCAAATTAAATAAAGCCTGTGCACCATTTCAGCTCCTTGGCCTCCCATTGGCCTGCCTGCCAGTCTACACCTGGAAACATTTCCAAGATAAATCATCACCACCCACTGCACCATTTCCGGCTCTGTGAACAGAAACAAGGTTTCTACCCAGAGGCACTTCACCACTCTCTCCACGGACCTTATCAGGATGCTTGAGTGGACTTTGCCATGCGTTCATAGGAAAAGAAAGGCGGCGGCGTAGGGCTCGGCACCAGGTGAGAATTTTCAGTTGGGTTGATGGGTCTAAGCGAATCCTGGGCGCCAGGGGTCAAAGGCTGCACGCAGACACGAAGTCTCACGGTTTCACTCAGCAAACTCTTCCTTCCCACCCTACCAGACTCTACCGGCCAGCTAACAGAAGGCAAACGTTACACTTGCCTCTAGTAGAGTTAAGAGTGCCTCTGGCTACAGGGAAGGGCAGTACCCGGTGGCTTTAAAGCAGGCACTTCGGATCATGGCCATCTTTTCCCTCCACAAGCCAGTTGTCCTGCGGGCATCACCGAAACCAGCGCGATTCTTTCAAAGTCTTGCAGAAGCTCATCACCATGACACACCTGAGCCCCTTAGCGGGGACTTTTGCTTAAGGAGGTGGGCCGGGAGGTGGAGGGGACGCAAGGGAGCAGATAAGGCAAGCTGACTTCTTGGTTAAAAACCAAAGTTCACTGCAGCCCAGCGAAGGAGACACAACACTCCGAACGAAGGTTTCCCGTCCCCGGCAGCGGTAGCTGCGGCTGGGCGCACGCACGCACGCATCCTACCTTGGACCTCTCCTTGACATAGTATTTGCCCAGCCGGCTCCCGCAGTACAGGACCAGCCTGTCGATGAGGGACAGGAGGAAGTTGATGGCCTCGCAGCCCTCCTCATTGCCCCCGATCCACGTGATCTGGTCGCCCCGCAGGTGCCGCTTGGAGACGCCGGCGCGCGGCCCCGCCAGCTGGCCGTCACGTAGAGCCCCGTTGTAGTGCAGCTGCTTGACTCGTTCCAGCACGCAGTCGCCCACCACCTCGCCTAGGAAGTTGTCCAGGTAACAGAAGCCGACCTCGTGCAGACAGGGCACGATGTACTCCAAGGCGATCTTCTCCAGATCCAGCCTCATGATGTGTCCCAGAGGCATCTCGCCCGCAGAGCCGACGCCGGGGACCCCGACGGTGCACGCGCCGAGGGCTTGACCTGGGCGAGCGCACAGCCGAGTTGCAGAGAGCCGGGCCCGGGGCTCACCCACCTGCGGCTGCCACGGTCCCGGAGCCACTTTAGCGCCAGGGGCGGGGAAAGTTGCTCGTAACTCTGGGGAGAAGGGAGTCCCGCTCCGAGGCCGGCGGGAGCAGCGCGAGGCTCCGCCACTCAGCGCCGGACTGGCCCAGTGAGAAGTCGGAGGGCAGCTTTTGGAGATGCAAAGCCACCGCCGCGGCGGCCGCGGCCGGGGGAGGAACAAGAAGAGGCCCCGCCTTGACCTCAACGTCACGGTCCCGCCCGCGGCACAGCCCTCCTCGGGGCCCTTCCTCCCGGACTGGTGCTGCGGAGGCGAACTCAACGCTAACCTGTGTGTGACCCAAGAAAGGGCTGGAATTTGTTTTTTTTTTTTTTTAATGCCCTAGATTCGCATATTGTTTTTCGTAAAAATCTCCTAACAAACTTGAAAACCTGGATCCCAGATCTGAAATGTACATGAATTTAGTCTCACAGTTTACTGCCACTCTGGGAGTCACCTTTCTGGTGACTTTCTTAACCGTTGACCTCGAGCTAGCCTCACCTTATGTCTTTTCCGTCCTCCCTTTTCTTCTGTTTGATCCGGGTCTGGCAATTCCAACCCCTGAGAGAGTGAGATGAATCCGGATTTTACTGAAACGGATACATCAACAAATGTTCCTTTGGACCCCCCGGTGTGCCAGGCTGCAATCGCTGAGGGGAGGGAAGAGGCTTTACGGGAAGGGTGGGGCTTTGCCAAACCCTGCAAATTGTTGTATTTTGCCCTGTGGCAGGAGATGCTCACGTCCCGCTTACTGCTCAAGCTGCTTTCTAAAAGGTTCTAAAAGTCTACCTCACTCACGTGTGCCCCAAAAGATACAACTGTGTTCCAGGTCTCTCTGACTTTTGCCACAAGCAACTAGACTTGTGAGGGAGTACAAGACCCTACCTAGAAGACTTAAATATCACCGATAAGTTGGTGTCTGTCTAGATTTCTGATGCCCTTTCCTTCCAAATACTAGAGGTAGATAGGGAGAAGGGAGGGAGGGAGGGAGAAATTTAAGCTGGCATGCAAAGTCATTTTCATTTTCTGAATTTCACATTTTTGTACATTTGGCTTTTCATTTAAGTTGAATGAAAAGCTGCACCGGTCTTTCCGGCGTCATGTTTTTTGGACACAAAACCCCTACACTTTTTTCCCAATAGCCCCTCTCCTCTCCTCTTCTGAGGGGAGAGGTGGGGTGCAGTTCATGCCAAGAAAGAGAGGCAGAAGGAGGAGGAAGAAGCCTGAGGCAGACCCGTGGGTTGTGGCAGTCAACAGTGGAGGATTCCAGCAGCTTTGATGAAACTAGTCAGCTCTATGGAGAACAGGCCCTGTCAGCGCTCAGTTGGTGTCTCTCCAGGAGGAGGTGTCTGCCCTTCCTTAGGGTAAAGGTTCAAATTGGCCTGACCTCAAGAAGTTGTCAACAGAAAGCCCACAGCAGCACAAGGGTGATAGGAGCCCATGTCCTTGGACCGTTGATGCCGGCGCATGGTAGATGGTTGGAAAATAGTCCCTTGAGACCCTGAACCTGGGCCCTGCAACCTCCTCTTGGGATTTTAGACAGGGAGCCAGCAGGACACGTCCTTTTGCAAGAGAAGGACTGGGGATCCTCCCAGGGTATTCACTGGGATTGAATGCCAAGAACAAGACCTGAGTGGCCACTGGGGGGTGACAGTGAGAACTGTAAAACACTCAGTTGGCCCGTTCTGTCCCAGGAGCGGTAAACAAAGCAAAGGCTGGAGGGGTATTTCTCTTCACTGGGAACAGGATGGAAATGAATTACAAAGGGGAGGAAGGGCCATCTCCCCTCTGTTATCTGAACCTCTTGTCTTTAGGAGCCCTTCTGATCCTCACGTGCCCTTCTGCAGGGACACCATGGGGTGAGGCAGGGAGTGCCTTAGGGCATTTGTAGCTTGGAGACTGTCATAGACCTCAGAGTAGACAGCTCTGAAGAGGGTCAGAGTAACAGGTAGTACTTGGAAGCTGGCCAAAATTCTTCTGGCCTATGGTTCCTTTTAGGTTCAACCCATATAGGAGGAGCTTTTATTTCAGGACCATAGGCTCCCCAGTAACCAACACAGAGACATTCTATTTAATTATAAATGCTCAGCCAATAGCTTAGGCTTATTACTAACTAGCTCTTACAACTTTAAATAACCCATATTTTTTTAATCTGTGCTCTACTACATGGCGGTAACTTTTTTTCAGCAGGGCATATTTATCTCATACTTCCTCTACATCTGGCTGGCGACTCCCTCCTTCTTATCCACATTCCCTTAGTTTGGCTCTCCTGCTTAACCTCTTTCTGCCTAGCTATTGGCCAATCGGCTCTTTATTAGCAACGAGAGCAGCACATCTTCACAGTGCAAAAGGATTATTCCACAGCACCCATATGCCTGAGGCTGACAGAAGGGAATTTACAAACGCCTGAAAACCTACGGTCCTTGTGGAGGGGTTGGCTAATAAAACATAGAAAAGTATATATCCACATCTGGCATGACCATGTTTACCTGCAACTTTAAATCCCAGGGCTAAACCGTTTAACTTCATAGTCAAATAATATTTCCACAATTTCAGAGCACAGTGGCTTCTAGTGGAGTCACAGTGAGAACAATAGTTCAAACAGGTTCAAGCCTCAAGTTGTTCTAGATGATTTTGGTTCCAAAACGTGGGCTGTTAAGGAAGGGAGTCAGCCCTGCAATACCGTTCCTTTCTCAGCAAGGGCATTTACTAATCAACCACAGGCTTGCCAATCAACTCAGGGCTGCCCGCACTGAGTATAGTCAGGGAGTCAGAGCTGCTGAAGCTGGTAGACATCAAAGTTCATGACTACATAGAGGGCGCAGACAAGCAGGAGCCAAACAGACTCTGAGGCTGAACACCAGACAGGCAAAACCCAAGTTACCTTTTAAGTACATGCATTTCAGACATTTGTCCATTAATTTGTAACATTTTAAAAATGAATACTATTAATCAGCTTCCCACAACGATGACAAAGTATCTGAAGCAATAGTTTAAAGAACGAAGGTTCATTCAGGCTTATGATTTTTAAGGTGTCAGTCCATAGCCTTTAGGAACTCTAGCAAGGTCTATTGTGTCAGGGAGAACCAGGAGGAGTGATAGAGTCCAGGGTTCCAGTGTGTGATACAAGGATGCACCCCCTAATTTCTTTCTACTAGAGCACTCTCCCAGCGGTTCTGCTATTTCCCAGTGGTGCTGTGGGCTGCCAATCAAATCTTAACATATAAGCGTATAGAAGACATTTAAGAGCCAAACTATAGCAAGTATCAAAATAGCTTTTCAAAAAACATGAAACCAACTTTCTTATCTTTGATTCTGTTGTGATTAAATACCCTGACAAAAGCAACATGGAAGAAAAGGCTCATTCTAGCTCCGAAGTCACAGTCCATCTTTGCAGGGAAGTCACGAAGTCAGGGATGCAAAGCCGCTGCTCATATCACATCCACAATCAAGAGGAGAGAGCAATGGGTGGATACATGCATGCATGCTTCACCATCTTCACTCTTACACATTTAGCATCCCTTGCCTAGGGAATGATGCCACCCAAGGTGGACAGATCTTTCCCACTCAGTTAACTGAATCAATATAATACCCCCACAGAATCCTCACAGGCCAGCCTGTCTATATGATTCATCATGGAGGGACTAGAGAGATGGCACCATGGTTAAGAGCACTTGCTTCTCTTCCAGAGGACCAGGATTCCTTTCCTGGCACCCACTCATAACCATCTGTAATTCGAGTTCCCAGAAATCCAACACCCTTTTTTTCTGATTTCCAAGATAATCAGACACATACATAATGCATAGATGTAAAATGCAGGGAAAACAGCCACATACGTAAAATAATAAATAAATGAAATATAGATGATTCCTCACTTAGAGTCCCTTCCAAGATAACTCTAGATTTTGTCAAGCTAGCAAAACTAGCCAACTCACTATTCCAAAGTGAAAATTTCAGTGGCATTTAGTACATCCACAGTGTGTTACAACCACCACCTCTCTCTAGTACAAAAACATTCCCACTGCCCCAAAAGAAAATTCTAACCCCCCTCGATAAGTAATTTTCTGTTCCCAGCTTTCTCCAATCCCTGGAGATCACTGATCTGCCTCTGTTTTCATGGATTTACTTATATCAGACATTTCCTGTAAGTGGATCATGCTATATGAGACTTCTTCCAACTGACTTCTTGCATTTCACGTGAAGGTGTTTTTCAGGTTCACCCACGTTGTACCACATACCAATGCTTCATTTGTTATGGCTAAATAATAATCCATTGTGGATATATCATTACATGTCTACTTAACAGTTGACGAGTCTACTGCTGCAACAAAACACCATGACCAAAAAGCAAGTTGGGGAGGAAAGGGTTTGTGTGGCTCACACTTCCACATTGCTGTTCATCACTGAAGGAAGTCAAGACAGGAATTCAAACAGGGCAGGAACCTGGAGGCAGGAGTTAATGCAGAGGCCACGGAGGGTTGCTGTTTACTGGCTTTCTTCCTCTGGCTGGCTCAACCTGCTTTCTTGCTTTCTTTCTCTCTTTTTTTTTTTTTTTTTTTTTTTTTGGTTTTACAAGACAGGGTTTCTCTGTATTGTTTTGGAGGCTGTCGGTCCAGCCTAGCCTCGAACTCACAGAGATCCGCCTGCCTCTGCCTCCCGAGTGCTGGGATTAAAGGCGTGCGCCACCACCGCCCGGCTCAACCTGCTTTCTTATATAGCTTGGGACCAGCAGCCCAGGGATGACACCACCCACAATGGGCTGGGTGCTCCCACATCCATCACCAAGTAAGAAAATGCCCTACAGGCTTACCCACAGCCTCAGCTTACAGAGGCATCTTCTCTGTTGAGGTCCCCCTTTCAGATAACTCTGGTTTTGGGTGTCAAGTTGACATAACACAAGCCAGAACTATGGGCATTTGGGTTCTCTTTATCTTTGAGCTACTGTTAGTACTACAGTATTTGAGTATCCATTTTCAGTTTGGGGAGTAAGGGTATGTACCCAGGAGAGAAATTTTGGAGTCATGTTTTGAAGAACCACCAAACTATTTTCTGCAACAGCTTACCATTTTGCATTCCCATCACTAATGTGGAAGGGTCTGTCATTTTTTTTCAAGGAAGGGCCTCATTCCAACCCTGGCTGGTCTGGAACTCATTAGAAGACCAGGATATTTACAAACCTATAAAGATCTGCCTGCCTCTTGAGTGCTGGAATTAAACATATATACCACTATGTTCACCTCAAATTCTTTATTTTATGTGTAGCAGAGTTTGGCCTGAATGTATTTCTGTATCCACATCTGGCATGGCATGACCATGTTTACTTGTAACTCTAAATCCCAGTGCTAAACCATTAATTTCATAGTCAAATAATATTTCCACAATTTCGGAGCACAGTGGCTTCTAGTATAGTCACAATGAGAACCATATTTCAAGCAGGTTCAAGCCTCAAGTTATTCTAGATGACTTTGGTTCCAAAATCCAAACATGTATGTTTCTGCTACCCACAGTGCTCAGAAGAGGGAGTTGGAGTTCCTGGACCTGGAGTTACAGTTGTAGACTCCTGTGTGGGTGCTGGGCTGGGCCTTCGGTCCAGGCTGTGTTCTTAACTACTGAACTGTTGCTGCAGTCCTCAAATTATTTTTTAATCCTCAAGTAATTTATCATTTCCTATCCAAGTTCTGCCACATGTTTGAGTTTCCTTCCATCCTAGTAGGTGCCTGAATATTGTGTGTGTGTGTGGTGTGTGTGTGTGTGTGTGCACATGTGTGTGATGTCATTGAGGTTTATCATCTTATTGAATGGTTTTATACTGAATGACTTACAAATTTATGCTGAATGAATATACAAATGATATCTAATGACTAAAATACTCTCATAACATTTGACATGGTATGGTAGGTTTTACAACCACTATTTCAGCTAATTTTTATAACACTAAGACTTAACTTCTATTATGATTCCCACTGTGAGTATAAACAAAGAAGTGGGACTCAGGGATGGTAAATAATTGGCTGCACTTTTCACCTAAAGCACAACAGTGTGGGGCTTTCCAGTGTGCCCAGGCTGTGGGAAATGCTGGGCCGTGTGCTGGGTATAGTGATCGCTTACTCCTGAGTACTTTCTGTTTGCAGTTGTTCTTCGTTGGGACACTTTTGTGTGTGTGGTGACATTTTACATTTTTGCTTCCTTACTAATACTTTTTGCTGATGGGACATAAGCAAAATATACCATATGCTGTTTAGATGATAGTCACTTTTCAGACTGCAAATTAGGATCTGTTTCTTGCTCCATCCTAATTATAGCCCAGGGTTCCAGGATGCAAAACATAAATTTCAGTGATGTATTGGCCTGTTGAGAACAATCCCTAGCGATGAGCTACGTTTCAGTCCTTGCCTGGAGTATGCATTCACAGGACACAGGAAGTGAGTTCATTTCAATGCTGCTAGTGAACCAAGACCAAAGGGAATTT